AGGAGAGGAGGGAGAAAGGGAAAAGAAAGGAAGGGAAGAAAAGAGAAGGGAAGGGGAGGGGAGGGGAGGGAAGGGAAGAGGAGGGGAGGAGAGGGGAGGGGAGGGGAGGGGAGGGGAGAGGAGGGGAGGGGAGGGGAGGGGAGAGGAGAGGAGAGGAGAGGGAGGAGAAGAGATAGGCAGAGTCATCAAATCCCTCCCCCCAGAGCTGAGGGATCCCTGTGAAAGAGGAGGCAGGAGTGTAGGAGCCAGAGGGGATGGAGGACACCAAGAAAACAAGGTCCTCTGAATCAACTAAGCAAAGTTCATAGGAGCAAACAGAGACTGCACAGCATCCCCTACATATATTTTATAACCTTCAGCTGAGTACTTTTATGGCATTCCTGAGTCTCTGATTCTTGTGCCTTCTCTTGGGGGCTCTTTTTCTTCTGTTGGATTGCTATGTCCAACTTTGATGTGATGGTTTTTGCTTTATCTTATTATATTTTAGTTTGCCGTGTTTGGGTATTATCTCTTAGAAGCCTTGTTCTTATCCAGTGAGAGGCACAAAGGCAGTGGGTCCAAGGAAGATGGGAGCTGGGGAGGACCTGGGAGGAGTACTGGGGAGGACCTGGGAGGAGTACTGGGGAGGATCTTGGAGGAGTAGAGGAAGGGGAAACTATAATCAGGATATATTGCATGAGAAAAGAATCTATTTTCAATAAAATAAAAAAAGGCTAAATAATTTTCAAATTAAAAAACAAAAATGAAAGTAAGCTAACTTGAAAAATAAACTGAGATGCACTGCCTGTGCCGACTCATAGCTCCTTCATGTGGGTATCCTGCACCCCACATATCATTAGGGGACTGTCTTTAAATCCACTGAAGAAGTTGGATCTCCCTGAAAAGATTTCATTCAAATCTTTGCACTCAGCTTTCCACTTAGGTAGCCTGTCCATTTTCATCAAGCACGTTTTCATTAACTGTGCAATTCTTCAGTAGCAGCAGTTCCCGTGTTGCCGTTGCTTTTCAAGGACGGGCTTTCTAGATAACCTGTCTTTCAATAAGCAGTGAAGAGTTAAGAGTTCCTATGTTCTACCTATATGGGGATCCTGCCACTGAGTCCATTTGGGTGAGCCAACCTAGCAATACTGGTTTTTTCTTATCAGGTGGGTGTTGCCATGCCGACCTCTTAAGTCAGGTTTATATTTGGAAAGAGCAGATTGTCCTGGGTAAATGCTCCTAGGAATATACATTCCCAAGTGTACATCCACAGGTGCCCCATTTGCACAACATACTAAATACAACAGCCCAGTGGTGACGGTAGCTATAAAGAGACCTGTTTTTTCACCTCATAATTATTAGCATCTCATAATTATTGAGCAGAGACTCTTCACCATTACTGCACAGACACATACACAAACACAAACTATGATCAGGTGATAGCCTGGAAGTTCTATCCTACAGTTGAGTGTTGATAAACTAACATATGACTCAGCCAATGAAAAAGAATGACTAGAAACCTTCTAACTGTGGGACTGCTTATTCTCCTCAGTTGGTAAAGGCTGCAATGCTAACAACAGTGGTGATAATGATTGTAACAAGGAGAGTGTTGCTTGTGCAAAGTCTATATAACCTAAATGATCTATAACAATGTTTTTCAACTTTCACATTGACCGCATGTCCACGGACATTGGACGGGTTATTTAGTCCTATTGAAAATGTACATAATCAAACAGAAAGTAAAGGAAAAATATCATAAATAAATAAAGCATCTTAACTCGAAAAACTCTTGGTGAGTGGCAAAGAAAAGCCTCCACAAGATGTCCTCTCCTCTCCACATGTGCTCCATGGGACATGTGTATATGTGCGAATGCATATGCAGACATAGATAAAAAAAAATAGATAAAATAGATACAGCAAATGGACTCTGTGGTTTGTGTATGCTCAGCTCAGAGAGTAGCACTATTAGAAGGTGTGGCCCTGTAGGGGCAAGTGTGGCCCTGTTGGAGTAGGTGTGTCACTGTGGGTGTGGCCTATAAGACCCTCATCCTAACTGCTTGGAAGCCAGTATTCTGCTAGCAGCCTTCAGATGAAGATGTAGAACTCTCAGCTCCTCCTGCACCATGACTGGCTGGATGCTGCCATGCTCCTGCCTTGATGATAATGGACTAACCTCTGAACCTATAAGCCAGCCCCAATTGGATGTTGTCCTTTATAAAACTTGCATTGGCCATGGTGTCTGTTCACAGCAGTAAAACCCTAACTAAGACAGACACCATCACAAATATCCACAACTGGACACAACATGGAGGTCAACATATCGTGGGGCACCCAGCCCCAATGGATATATCACATATCCGGAATCTAGGGCTTAGGGGATATTATGAAAGAGGGCAAGGAAAGATAATGAAAGCCAGGATATCAGGAAGTCTGCTGTAAATCAGTCTGTCCTAGAAATGGTGGCATAAACAAGACCAGAACCATGGTAATACCAGTGTGCATAGTAACATGGAAGGGGAAAATGTCATGGGGCTCCATCCTTAGACAAAGAACTACAGGCAACTAGTGACTTTTGGGAGAAAGAGAATTAGCCTTTCTCAGAGATGAGCCCACTTATTGGTTGCCAAATATACACATACACACACAAACCATATACACACAAATAAAAATGGACTCAACGAGGTGCATTTATACATCTCTGTGTACAGATATACATATGTAACAATAAGAGTAAAGGGAAAAAGGCAGTCAGCCTGAGAATGAGGAGACATGGGAGACGCTGAAGGGAAGGTCCCTGGGAGAAACTAGAGGAAGGAAAGGGGGTGGTATAATTCTAATTTTAATTAAAATGTATTTAAAAACTATCATCATTCACAAAGTAAATACACATAAATTACAAATTAATTCTTTCTACACTAGGAGAACAGATGCACAATATTCCATCTGACATTTCAGATTAGTGATATTTCAGATAACTTTCTAAAAAGGAATCCATTGTCTAAATCTTTGTATTTTTAAGACTGTAAATAATACATTCCCTTTCTGAATTAACAATATAATCTCTTAGAAATGAGATGTCAATATTAAACACATTTTATGTTAAAAAATAAAATGTAAGAATCACAGACTCGCAACACTAGTTTAAACAGCTAGGTTAACAAAGATTAAAATTGAAACAATCAATATTTGTGTGCTGGCTTTGATCACAAATGAAAGAAGATCAAGCAATACGGCTTGAATATAAATGAGTTTAACGGTTCAGAAACCCATGTGCCCACAGTCAATGGCTTCTGGACTACTTAGACACTTCCCAATGATGGTACCCATGCACAATGTGTCAGCATTGATTTACTCTATTGTACACTGCTGCTTTGATCTCAGGATGCACAAAAGCAAGGCAGGACCAGCAGCTCAAGTCGAGTTGGAAATAGAAATAAATCTGAACCTTTTTCTAAGTCTGAGAAAAATCCTGTTACAAGGTTAGCTCTGGTCAGGTCATCGCACCAGCACAGTTCTGGCTCTGGTCTGATTGGCTGCGCTAGAAGCTCCAGCTGGGCATCAACAGCAGGAGCATCTTCTCCAGCACCACGTGGACCACCACTTGGAGATGGTTCCTCGGGAGGAAGTCTGGTTGCTATTTTAGAAAGGTGACTCTATGCCAGACTACAAAGTAACAGATGTCTATTAGCGCTCACTCTTCTAAGTGGGACGGTTGAATACTCCCAAATGCTTGTAGGGAAAACCAAACAGAATGCCTTTCTGGAAGCTAATACCATAATGCATGCCTTAAAACCTTCTAAGGTATTCACAATTCTGTCTCTAAAATTTCTTATTTCCAAAATTTTAATCTATAGAAATAATTGAATATGTGCATAGGATGTACATACATACAAAATACCATGAAAAAAGAACAAAAATGTTCATCTGCATAAGCTGTAAGTAGCAAAGGTAAGTTAAAAATTATTTTTCATCACTATTCATAATCTTTCACTAAAATTATTATTCATGAATAACACCTTTATACAACAGGTAGGCTAAAGCAGAAAAATATGAAAGACTAAAGGAAAAATTAGCAGTCGCTATTTTGTACTTTAAGTCTATATAAAGTACTTGTTTTTAAGTATTTTAATTATTCCCATGTCTCACTTCCTACCATGATCGTGAATTTTATAGCCTGTAGCATCTCTGGCTATCATTCCTCATGTTCAATTGGTTTGAACATGGCAAAAGTTGTGGCACAGAAGAGCAGTTACAGTTGTGGGCCAGATGGAGGGAGCAGAAAGGGACAGAAAAGAAGAGTTTACCTAGAGAAACGACTTCTATTTACAAGGATAAGCCTATCTTTGCCAAGTACTTGAGAGTCAAGAAAACAGCCCTTGAGAAGTGGCTATATCTTAAGTCAGCTTTGAATACACCGCTCATGTTATGCCCAGGGAAATCTCCCTCCGTAATGACTGTTGAGACGGGGTGTTCAGGACCATGATCATATTCTGAAAAGTAAAGGAATGCATAAAGAAAGAACACTGACATCTAGTGTTGGAAGCTGCCCATCCAGACTGCCAAAGGCATACTGTACTAATGAAACCCAAAGCAAGTACTTTCAGTTCAGAAATGGCTCCCTAGGCCTTATATTGAAAATATCATATGCTAATCAATGCTTGGACTGGACTCAATCATTACGCAATATCTGATGTTCTTTCCAATTTTCAGGTAGAGTTTTTATTTAGAAGGCTGGTAATAAAGGCAAGCAACTCTTTGTGGGTGGGAGAGAGTCTGCTGAAGAATAATCTCGAGACAGAAACTTCTGCTAACAGATGCTGTGATATCTCTAAGTTCCTCTCCCGTTCATCTGTGTTTAGGGTAACATATCTAAGGATCAGTTCTTGCTTTGGAGTATCAGCATCTGCCTTCTTCCCCAAAGCTGTATGGTTAAAGGCTTTCTCTGGAGTGGTATAGTTTGCATGACTATTCCTCTCTCACACACTATTAATTTGAACTCTTAAAGCTAATACTTACCACAGGAAACTGTAGCGAACAGGGAAACAAAATAACCCACTTGGCTGAATAAAATCATCCTTTGAAAGAAAAAAAATATACATATAACTACTAGGGTTAGATCATGTTTACCATGTATTTAATAGATAATTTAATGTAGACTTCACCTTTTTGGTAAATGTCTAAAGTTTAAATAAAAATCACAGCACATAAATACCAGGAGAAAGATTTGGGAAGGACAATTTGTATATAGAAAATTAAAATATTTATCATGCTTCCCAAGATATAAACTGAGACCTCTAGACTACTGTTAGTGTATATTAATGTATTTATGGTTAATTTTGAAGATTTATTTCTATTAATTTTGTAAAGAGAGTTAATGCAAATAATTAAACACTTATTAAATTTCTAGATTTATGCAAAATTATTATGAATAAGGACAATAATGTCACCCACAACCTCCACATAAAGGATATCTTTGAAAATAATCGAAACTTTATTTTTGGTTTTAAAATATTTTTTCATTAATATATTTGTATAGAAAGAAAAACAATTCCTTGTAGATTTTTCTAAACACTCAGGAAATTAGTGCGTTATACCAATAAACATTTTTTTCATGCAGAAATAGTTATATTTTTTTAAAAAGACACAGGATATAAGGAGACTGGTGGAAAGCAGCTACCTGGAAGGATGGTTGCTTTGTGGTTCTGGAGGAGAGGGAATCTTCACATGAAGATGGTCTTCAAGCTCTCCGAATATGGCACCGAGGGCGGTCTTTGCTTGGCTCCAGTGTTGACCCTGAGCTTCTGGCGTCAGTTTCAACTGTTGAACCTGTCAATATAGTCCATGGACATCCCTGTCCAGGTTCAGCTACTTAATATGTTACTGATTCCAGAAAGTCATAAGCACGATGACAGAGCTGGAGTCTCCAACATTCGTCCTTTTACAGAAGAATCCATGGGAACAATTCTCCGTGCACAAAAGTGCCTTCCCAAGTGTTAAGGAATCCAGATGATAGTTTACAGCCCTCGGTGGAAATGTGGGCGTAGTGACTATGCACTGAGGAATGTTAGACCTTTCACATTAACCATGAAACCCTGCTACCGAGCCTGGGCAGCACAGCATGGTGATATGTATGACTAAAGAAGAGTGACATAAACATCACTTTTCACGGGTCCTAAACAAGCCCATCCCAGGATATCCCAGTATCCGGCCAGACCCTACAGACTCAGGCTCCAGGTCGACACCAGTGGGATCTTTTCCAGGACTGTAGATTCAGGAACACATCCATGCCCGTGGGCTTGGCCAGTGGACATGGCCTCTGGAGGGAGGCTCAGTTTCCCGGCTCGTTTCAATATCAGCACTTTAAGCCAGTCCTCAATCCTAAGATCCTGGCCCCACTGAACTGAGGATCCAAGCATGAGCTCAGGGACTCAATCATCAATGTAATCACTACGGACCCTAATGCCAGGCTGTTTCCTGTGGCCTCGAGATTCGAACCTAGCCTTACATATTCAACTCTAACCACATAGTTGGCTAACCCAGAATCTATTGATGAGATAAATGACTCGTAGGTTTGCCTGGTGAAGCAAGCGTTAAAACCCTAAAATCACTGTGGAGCAGGCAAGACATCACAGTGGTCCAAAGTCATCTACCACCAAGTCTGATGACCTGAGTTCAACCCCAGAACCTGCACAGTGGAGGGAGCGAGCCAATCCCCCAAAAGTGTCCTTTGGCCTCCACACTCACACTTCTGTGTGTGCACACCTGCACACACATAGCCTCGCCATAGGTGAAAAAATGAATTTTAAAAAAATTAAATTCAAAGTAGCTTCTTATCTAAAAGTGCAAACACCAACACAAAGCCAGAGGATCACAAATAATCAGAAAAGAAAAAAAAAAGCAACCAAAAGAAAAAAGTTAGAAACTTATATGTGACCCTAAATAAATGAAGGTTAACTGACTGGCAGTTTATAAATTTAACATAGGGGTTTGAGGTATTTTATTACAATGATGTAAGACTGGTGGAGACGTAAAATCATATGACCACCTGAAGAGCTGGACTTACATGTGGCATTTGAAAAAGGAAGTCCTAGAAGCAAGGGGGATGGTGATTGTCAGGATCTGAAACTTGGTGGAATGGGTGATGGCAGTCAAAGGATACAAAGTTTCAACTTTTAGGATTAAGATGCTCAGTGATAGCAACATCTCAGAGACCAGCTGAGCGAATCAGGTCCCCTGGAGCTGAAGCTACAGGTCCCCGTGAGCCACCTGATGTGGTTGCTGAGAACTGAACTTGGGTTCTCTTCAAGGACGTCTGTAGAGCAGTGGTTCTCAACCTTCCTAATGCCGCCACCCTTTAATACAGTTCCTCATGTTGTGGTGATCCCCAACCGTAAAGACATTTTGCTGCTACTTCACAATTGTAATTTTGCTACTGTTGTGAATTGCAAGTATCTGATATGTGACTCCTCCCTTCAGGTTGGGAACCACTGATCTAGATGTTCAGAGTGCTGGATTACAGGTGTACATGACTGAGGCCTGGTATGTAGGCATTCTTAACACAGGTAGTGATTGTCTGAGATGGTCACTACGTTAAGTTACTTTATAGTAGTAACAATTTCACAGTGTACACGTATACCAAGTTATCATTATGTTACAAGCATATCAAGAACTCCCTTTCAAATAAATTATACATGGGAAAAATATGTGGGAAATGCATTTCAATGTTCATCCTGAAGAAAAAGAAGTGCTTTATGTTAGAGACACACAATTCAGGCATAGGTTTCCTGTTTTGAAAATGGTCATATCGTCTTTTTATTTGGGAACTAGCAGCTTGAGTTGTTTCTATTCACTTTTACAGGTGTGTGTGTGTGTGTGTGTGTGTGTGTGTGTGTGTGTGTGTGTGTATGTGTATGTTTCTATTGAAATTGCCTGGAGGCACACCTCAATGTGGGGATGGGGTGGACAGCTCCCCCTATAGGTGAATCAAAGCAAGTTATTGCTTTTCTACCTTTTTATAACACTGGAGGTTTATGTTCAGATCCACCCAATACTGAGTTGGTAATCCGCAGTTTACAGAACAAATCTTGCTCAGTATGTGTTCTTCTAACTAAAGTTTTAATGGAATACAACCCATTCACTGCTGCTCTGTCTATGCCCGCTTACTTCCTATAATTACAGAATGGTCTTCAATAACAACAAGAAGAACAACAAAACAGCAAACAAGCAAACAATGATGCTAAGATCTGGCCCTCTACAGCAACGCTTGCTGCTGGATAGCATGTCTATAGTGGAGTTTAGATTCCCTCCTGCCCAGGAAACTCTATATTACGTTTAACTTTTAGAAAAAAAATGTTTCCAAATACAATAAAATACATACACTTCCTTAAAACTTCTAACTTTAAGTCTTGGATTTACTGACTAATAATTTATTCCTCTTTTTTATTTTGTTTTGTTTTCTAAAAAATATTTAAAGGCTATAATCGCTCGCCACTAAATCTCCTCTGTTTTCTATTCGGCAAAAATTACAGTATGTCATTTTAACTAGTAACTTAGATGGAGAGATGGCTCATAAATATTTTACAAATGTTTCTGGAATGCAAAACTGTATTTATTAGAAACAAAGGATAATGTTGCCAATAAATAGCTCTGGGGTGTCATAAAGCAGCATATTTAAATCGCATGCTGTAATGCTTTCTAGAGAAAGAGCTATCCTAGCCATCAACAAAGCAAAACCCTCTGCTCTGTAATGTATAAAAGAAAAATCCCTGATATTTGCAATCTCCTTAACAAACTAGGCTCAACTGGAAGATGGGGGGAAAGCACCTGCCTTCAGTGCACAAGATATTCTCAGGGGTTGCTTGCCTTAAAAGTAATACTCTAGATTTAAAACTTCCATAAATATACTTCCATGCTTAGTCTGAAGGCTCCTGAGAATGAAGCAGAAGTTACAGTCCCATAATATAATAAAAACTAAAATTTCCTCATGAATTCAGGAGAACAAAATCAGTTATGTGGAATAGAGCCATCAGTAGACAAGATGCTAAGTGTCCCCCCCCTAAAGCTCCCACTCTGATCCTGTGGACTGCGCAGACATTGTGAGCCAGCTCTTCTGCAGTGACTGACTCACTGTCCTTCATGAGAAATGCCATTTTGCAGATGTAGTTAAGGAGATTACTCAGCTGACACTGAGCTCACCAAAGTAGATTGTCTGAATGGGCCAGGCATCATCACTAGAGCCCTAAACAAAGTTTTTATTAAAGTGTGTGTGTGTGTGTGTGTGTGACTTTGCTTGTTTGTATTTGTGTGTGTATGTGTGTAACTTTGTGTGTTTGTATTTGTGTGTATGCTTATATGTGTGTGTATCTTTGTGTGTTTGTATTTGTGTGTGTGTTTGTATGTGGATGTAGCTTTGTGTGTTTGTATATGTGTGTTTGCATGTGTGTTTGTG